GACTGTCTAGAGAATCAGTCATTCTTCTCTTGGAAAAAAGTTCATAGAGCACATCCAACCTCCCCAGGCCCAAGATATAGAGTCCCTTTCTAGAGTCAGGCAACGCATGTAAAGACTTCATTTAGTGGGGAGGGGGAATGGATAGCTTTAGTAAGTTGGGAGCTCCTCATCCTTGGATTTGTAGCAGGAAAGGTTGGACGACCATCTGCTAGTACTATAGAGGGGATTCACCCATCAGGTGCACATTGTATTGGATGCCCTCCATTGGAGGTCATTTCCAGATCCAAGATCCAAGATTTTGTGGATCTTTGATTCAGTATTCTGGACTTAGGACTACTCTCTCATGTTCTCTCTACCTCTCTAGGACTAGTCCCATCATTAGGTTCTTTCCCTCAGCTTGATACTCATGTGAGGGAATTGTGTCAAAGCTCTTATCCTCTGTGGGGTGGTGGCAGCATGCAAAACCAGCCTTCAGAGTCTAGACAGGCTTATTTTGGGGTTAGTGTCTACTGAACCCTAGTAATCTAAATGGCTCCACGTATCTGCCAACTCTTTCTAACCTCTGCAAACAGATAGAGAGCAATTTTGGCTCTCCCACCCCACCACTTACTTCCCTTCTCGCAGGGAACTATCCTCTATGATACACAGAATGATGAGAAAGTTCCTTGGATGAGCTTCTGTGATTCTGATGCTGTGCGAAACACACCCTCACACAATGTTGAGGTTAGTGGAGATCTTTGGAGTACCAGGCTTGACACGTTTCCTAGGCCATTTGTGTTCAATTCAACTACTCTGCAATCAGTCCCCAGTGAGACTGTAAAAAGAGGCTCAGAATCACCAGCTCTGGGAAGCCTCTAGTGCCAGGCTGGTTATAACATAATAGCCCTATTGCTTCTGGGTGGGGATGGGGGACAACCTTTGGACTTGGCTCCAGTTGGGTATGTGGGATGCTGTTTATCATTTTCCATGGCTATGAATTGGAGCCCAGGCAACTCTCTTCAAGGCTGCAGTTATCTAAAAGCTAGCCATAAAGGTTCTGAGTCATTAACAAGTCATAAGCTACAAACTGGAGTCCATACAGCAGAGAGCAACTATAGATGACTCTAATGTCAAGGTGAAAGAGGGCTGAAAGGTATCTAGTCTAAGTGATAAATTAAGAGGAATCTGCTGTATGACATATGCCCATCCTGCTTCTGCTTGAAGCCCTCCTGAGAGTCCTTCTCCCAAGGCAGGAAATGGTACTTCAGCACTGCTATATTCCATTGGACTTGAAGCTGAAAGGGACCTTTGAAGTCATAAATCCCCAACCCCTCAATTTACAGATGAGGAAACTGAGGCCCAAAGAGGTTGTGTGACTTGCTCAAGCTCATACAGCTTGTAAGTAGCAGAACTGGAATTTGAAACCAGACTCTATTTCCAAATTTCTTTCTAGTAAACTGCTTTTTCCTTAAATGGGACCCAAATCTGGTTCATGCAGCTTTCTCTTATTGGAAAGTCTTACATCTGCTCTCTGGGGCCAAATTGAAAAAAAAATTAATCTCACTTTCACAGGATAACATTTCAGATGCTTGAAGATAGCTATCATGTCTTCCACTCCCACTCCAAGACTTCTTTAGTTTAATCACTTCTAATTGTTTCAAAGTCTTCTCTTATAATACCAATAGCCTACATTTGTTTATTTAATGCTTTAAGGTCTACAAATCACATACATGATTTAATTACCACTCATAATAAAGTATTTTGGCTTATTTTCCTCTGTTGGATAGGTTCCAATTTGCCAGTGTTCTTTTTCAAACATGGCACCCCGAACTGGGCAGAGTATTGCAAGTGGGGTTTGACCAGGGAAGAGAACTTTCAGAACCATTCATTCTCCACAGATGGTCCATTCTAAATCCCTGAATTCCTCTGAAGGCTCTGTCCTGAGAAGTGGGAGGGAAGGGGGAGAGACCCCGAGGATAAAGGTAAGGTCAGAACTGGAAATCTCACTTTAGCTCTATTTAAGGTCCACTGCCCTCTGGTGGCCAGAGATAGCCAAGCAGTTGGCTGGCAAACCTTGGAAGTCAGACTGTATGTAGTTATCAGGCTGCTGGCTTAGGCTGGAAAAGGAGGTGATGTCCTTGATGACTTTATTTTCTGCGAAGAGACCCCACCCCCAGCCTTCTTTCTGTCTTCCTGGCTTCTTCCTCTAGCATTCTGGAATATGAAGACCCCAGCTGCACCATCACTGCAGTCGCAGATGCCCTGGCATCTGCTGAGCTCTGGTCAACTTTGTTGTGTGACTTTGGGCTGTGTAACTGACTCTGGGCTGTGTGCCACTGGGCACCATAAGGCCAACACTCCCTCCCCCTCCCGTCTCTGTCTTCCCTTTGTTAAAGTGACCAGCTTTCCCATCAACCAGTGAAGGGGAGAAACAACAGGACCTGTCTACCAGTCACCGTGCCTGAGCAATGCTGTTGCATTGTATAGCCCCTGCCAGTCCATTTCTTTGAGCATGAAGTTGTTGGGTTCTTCTCCACTCCCCTCTCCATACCAATTTCCCAGATACACACTTCTGCATAACTGACCTGAGAGGACGCTATAGTGAGGTCAAATCCCTAGGGATGTTGGTAACCTACCTGAAACTCATTCCTTGATGTTTAATAAACTCCTTCAGCTCAGTGATTCTGAATCCTAAACTGTCATTATTTAAACCCAATTTTCCTCTCCCACTCCCTTATTGTTGTCCCCCTTTCTACTTCCTCCCCCAAATCTCTCTCTCTAATGCTATTTATCCTTTCCATTGTGCTCTCTAGAATACTTGATCGATAGCTAACTAACTTGCTTTCATCTTAAATCTTTTCCTTTCTCATTCCTTCCCTCTTTTGACTCTCATTGAGATCTAGCTCCCTCTTGATGATAAAGCCTTGGTAGCCACCCTTTCCAGTACCAGCAGTGCTTCAACTCATACTCCCAACTCACTGGTCTCTCTGCCACAAATCTCTCCTCACTCTAGCCCACTGTCCACTCAGCTATCAACATGGTCCTCCTAAAGCTCATGCCTAATCATGGTATCGCTTTCCCCCACTCAATAAACATCAGTGACTCCCTGTCACCTCTGGATCAAATATAAAATCCTCTTTTGTTCAAAGGCCTTTGTAACCTGCCCTCCATCCTCTTCCATGTCATTCTTCTTATGCCTTGCATCCCTCCATATACTCTGTGTTTCAGGGACCCTGGCCTCCTTGCTGTTCTTCGAACAAGACACTCCATCTCCTGAATCAGGGTATTTTCACTGGCTGTTTCTCTTGCTTGGAACTCTATTACTACTTATCTCCTCCTCTTGGCTTCCCTGGCTTCTTTCAATCTCAGATAAAATCCTACCTTTACAGGAATTCTTTCCCAACTTTAGTGTTTACTATCTTGTTTAATTCCAATTTTTCCCTGTATGTAATATAGTTGTTTGCATATTGTCTCCTCCATTAGATTGTGAACTTCTTGAGAGCAGAGACTATCTTTAATCTTTCTTTATATTTCCATGGCTTAGTACCCTTCCCAGTACTTAGTAGCCACTTATACATTTGTTGATTGACTCACTGGTCAAGGTGGGTCAGATTGAGAGAGAAAGAGAAAGAGAAAGACAGACACAGACAGAGACAACAGACAGAGAGACAGAGAAAAAGAGAAGAAAAGGAGAAATGAAAGACAGAAAGGATATGAAAGAGTGAGAGAAATGAAATTTGAGATACTGCTCTGTTCAAAATCTCTTCCCCAGAGATGTACCATGGATAGTCCATTTTTTTCAGCATCATTCTTTTGTGTTAATATCTTGTCGCCTGCAGATACCCTCTGTGGGACGGATGATTCAGGAAGTTAAACTGGTATCAGTCGTATATACTGCAGTATGAATAAGATTGTAATCTATTTCATTGTGATAGCTCCTCAGAGCAGATGTTGAGGGAGGAAGGGAAAAGAAACGGGTCCATAAAATGAAGGCATTGTCTAGGGACTAGAGACCTGGATATGGGCTCTTAATTAGGCAGGGATCAATGGAATGGTGGGGGGCCGGGGGAGAAAAAAGTACCGAAAGAGGAGGCAGGGAAAGATCTCAAGATAAATTTCACCTACTTCACGACTTTTCTTCTGTAAATAAAAGTCCAGATATCAAGGCTAGACTTCCTTGATTTGGATTCTTTTCCTGTTCCTAAACTGATAGGCAGAGAAGGAAGGGGCTATCAGGTGTACAGAGGTTGTCTCTCTCGAAGGTGAGAGGGATTGCTTCCCAGGTTCTGGGCATGGAAGTTCAAAAGATAGGAACCATGACATAGTAAAAGTCGGGAGCAGTTTATTGGAGTTTGAAATCTGGCTCTGTCACTTTTTATCCATGTGGCCTCCCTCTTTCTGGGCCTCAATTTCCTTATTTATAAAATGAGATTATTGGTCAAGATGATCTCTCTGGGGTCTCTCTCGCCTCTAACATTCTTTTTCATCTGCAAAATGAGCTGTCTCATAGGGTAATTGTGAGGAAAGCACTTTGTAAGTCTTTATGTGCTATAGGAATATGTTGGTAGTAGCTTTCTTAACAATAGTAATGATGATTATTAATAGTAGCAATGACATGATTATTGTTATTCCAAGGTGCTTTCCAGCTGTAGCATTTTATGTTCTATGTGAGTAGGTATAAAGCCTCAGGCTTTTCCCTGATAATCTTCCTTAAAGCTACCAAGCAATTTACACATTAATTAGTGGTTCACCTGGCAATTACTACATCTCCTATTGCTTCTTCCCAAAGATGAAAATAATATATTAGCTTTTGATAACTTGTCATGACGGTTCCCTTGTAATTATGGGAGCATTAGATACTGTATGAACAGTTGCAGGCAGACCTTGGTTAAATCTTGAATAGTTGCATATAAATTTAATTTCTGTAAATCAAATCACGTTTCCCATCGACTGACATTATGCTTTCAGAAATCCATTTTTACATGGCACTCATTACTAGCATATTTTTTTTTCTTGTGTAGGTCTCTGGTTCTTCCTCCCAACCAATGCCTGTATTTCTCCCACCTCATCCCCATGGTTACTCCACTTAGCCTCAGCAGGGTTAAGAACATAAAAGGCAAAATACAAAAGCAGAAGTCAGGAACCAAGGTCAAGATCAAGAACACTGAGGTAGGTGTCTGAAAAGAACATTGGGAGGGCATGTGGGTGACATATTCTAGGGCACAGTGATAAAGGATATTGTAACAGAGAAAACCTAGAACCAAGAGTCAGGAGACCTGGACCCTGGTTTCAGCTCTAACCCTGGCTCAGTATGTAACCGTGGACAAATCAGTTGGCCTTTATGGGAGGGCCTCAGTTTCTTCATCTCTAAAATGGGGATAAATTGCATATCCCCTCCCTCCCTCCCAGGTTTGTTGTGAGGATCCAATGAGATCATAGTCATAAAGTGCTTTAAATTGTAAAGCATCCTAGAAATGTGAGTTATGGCATTGCCTGGGAGATTGTCTGGTTAAGGCTTAGTTATTCTTCAGAAGTGAGAGGAAGCATCTGGCCTAAGTGTGTGGGTGGCACTTCAAATGGATTCAGTGCCTCCCTGCCTGGATGATGGCAATAGTGCTGGGGAAAGAAGAGGACTCCTATCAAAATGATATTGCATTTTAGAGGACTGTTGTCTTCAGGTGATAAAGGGAAATTCAATAAAATATCTCTCAATCTTTCAGAAAGAGGGGCAGGGAGGCATCTCAGCTGAACCTCCAAGGAGAGAGGCAAAACCAGGAATGGACCATTTGGGGTGAGGGATACAATTTCCCCTGTTTTCCTTAAATTCAACAACAATCTTTAGTGGTTTTAAATGAATGCCAGGGTGTGGGAGGCATGGGATAGATCAAGTCAGTTACCACTTAACCCCTATGTATGTACTCTCTCTCTCTCTCTCTCTCTCTCTCTCTCTCTCTCTCTCTCTCTCTCTCTCTCTCTCTCTCCCATTTCTCTCTTTCTCTCTGTCTCTTCTCTGTCTTTCTCTGTCTCTGTATCTGTCTCTGTCTCTGTCTCTCTCTGTCTCTCTCTCTCTCCCCATCTCTCTCTTTCTCTCTCTTCTCTCTCTCTCTCTTCCTCTCTCCTCTTTTTTCTCTTTCTGTCTCTCTGTCTCTCTGTCTCTGTCTCTCTCTGTCTCTCTCTCTCTCTCTCTCTCTCTCTCTCTCTCTCTCTCTCCCCATTTCTCTCTTTCTCTCTGTCTCTTCTCTGTCTTTCTCTGTCTCTGTATCTGTCTCTGTCTCTGTCTCTCTCTGTCTCTCTCTCTCTCCCCATCTCTCTCTTTCTCTCTCTTCTCTCTCTCTCTCTTCCTCTCTCCTCTTTTTTCTCTTTCTGTCTCTCTGTCTCTCTGTCTCTGTCTCTCTCTCTCTCTCTCTCTCTCTCTCTCTCTCTCTCTTTTCCTCTCTCTCTTCTCTTTTTTTCTCTTTCTGTCTTTCTCTTTCTCTCTTCTGTCTCTCTCCACCTTCCCCCTATCCTCCCTGTCTTCCCCTCTTTCTCCCCTCCACTACTTTTGAAGTATAGAGAACTTTCCCATGCTTGTCGTCTGCTTTGACCACCTTGACTATTCTACTGGGGACATACCTGCTGATTGATGTCCCTAAGTTAGAGAGAACTAGGGTATGGGAGAGGTACTAGAGAAGAGTGGAATAAGGGTCTGGAGTTAAAGTCCTTGCTATTAATTATTTATAGGTCATTTTGCCCCTGGGCCTCAATTCCCTTAGCTATTAAAAAAGGAAACTGGATTATATAAATTCTGATGCTCCATTGATCTAGATCAACACTTCTGTGATTCTATGGAACGCTATAAACCAGAGGTGGGGAACTTGCAGCCTTGAGGCCACATGTGGCCCTCTAAGTCCTCAAGTGCAGCCCTTTGACTGAAGTCATTTGGATTCAGTCAAAAGGCTGCACTTGAGGACCTAAAGGGCCACAGGTGGTCTTGAAGCCGCAGGGCCCCAACCCTGCTAAGCTAATACTTGATATACCTAGGTTTAATGATTCTAATTCTTTCCTAGCCTTACTGGGGTGATTGACAAGCAGAATTTAATATAAAAATACAGAGAGGGAGCTGGTGTGGTAAACAGCTCCATGAGTTGCTTCGTTCCTTAAGTGTCTAATGGTCAGCCCTGCCCTTTGGTATCTATATTCCTTCTGGGACCTGGGTCTCTTAGAGCAGTTAGGTGACATAGTGAATCAAACTCTGGGCCTGGCTTTAGGAAGATCTGAGTTCAAATCCAGTCTCGGATGACACGTATTATCTGTGTGGTCCTGGGCAAGTCACTGTTTACTTCTGTTTCCATAGCACTTACCTCTCAGGGTTGCTGTGAAGATGAAATAGATAATCTTTGTGAAGTGCTTAGCATGGTATCTGGTGCATAGCAGGTGCTTTGTAAATGCTCATCTTTCCCCCTCTCTTCCTCACCCCCTTCAGGAGAGCTGAGATCCATAGTGGGGACTTCTAGTTAGTGTGTTTTTGGGATGGATCAAGGGGATATTTGGAACCGGTCAAGTTACCAGGAGGCAGTGACCATTGTCAGAACTGTCCTCAGGCTAGTTTGGTGGGGCTAGTGTCTGAGAGTCATTTCCATTCTCAGCTGATCTCTGTCTCTAATAGCAATTGAGGACTACTGGAGAAAAGTCACTTCCCTCACATTCTGTCCCTAAGAAAATTGAAAACCTGAAATAATCTTTCCACAGATATATTAGCTTGGGCTACAAAGAAGACACCATGTTGAATTATTACTTTTTTTTCCTCCCCACAAATCCAACCTTTACTTTAGTGTTTGGAAGGGGTTACTTAAATTCATAGCAAAGTGAAAAAAAAATGTATCCTTATGATTAATATGAGTTAAAATGGGGAGTGACATTGTAATAAAATGGCAAAGTTTGGGGCCTTTGGGGAAATTTATCTTGAGCACAGTCTGCTGTTGGAATAATGAGGCCACTATACTTCGGTCAGAGAGTGAATGCCTTCGAAGCAGGTAGAATGATGAACAAGTCGTGACTACCTGTCTAAAGGTAAAGATCACGGGGATCTTTCCCACGTTCTATTTCCAGACAGGGATAGGAAGGTGTTGTGGAACTCAAGAGACTTAGTGAGTTCTAACATCAACAATGCAGCTGTGGGACCTTCAGTCAGTTTCTTCCCTTCTCTAGGTCTGTTTCCTCTTCTCTAAAATGGGAGTGGGGTGAGGATTGGGTTAGATGCATGCTTTCAAGCGCACCACTGTGCCCTAAGCCCGGGGTGAATGTCAGTAAGTTCTGGGCTGTTACCCAAGCACAAAAGATGCCATCAGTCTGGTTCTCTGTGATCCTGAGGCAAGGTAGGGAAACAACTCAGGAGGCCATTTCAGTGGCTTTTAAGAAAACAGTATAGGGGCAGCTAGGGGGCGCAGTAGATAAGCTCTGGCCTTGGAATCAGGAGGACCTCAGATACATGACGCTTACTAGCTACATGACCCTGGACAAGTCACTTAACCCCAACTGCCTCACGAAAAAGGCAAAAAAAAAACCCCAAACAAGGAAACAATATAGGATGCTAGAGTCTGGAGGTAACTTAGGGCTCATCTAGTGAAACTCCTTTGCTTTGCAGAAGAGGAAACTCAAGTATGGAGAAGGGATGTGTCTTTTTTAAAAAGTATATTTTTTCCCCCTAGTTACATGTAAAGAGTTTACATGTAAAGACAATTTTTAACATTCATTTAAAACTTTTTTGAGTTCTAAATTTTCTCTCTCCCTCCCTTACCTCTCCCCTCCCTGAGACAGTAAACAATTTGATATAGATTATAAATGTTCAATCAAACAAAATATGTTGCCACGTTAGTCATTTGTGAAAGAAGATACAGACCCAAAGGGGGAAAAAAAACATGAAAAAAATACAGAAAGTGAAAAATAGCGTGCTTCGATCTGCGTTCAGACTCCATCAGTTCTTTCTCTGAAGGTGGATAACATTCTCCATCACGAGTCCTTTGACATTGTCTTGTATCACCGTATTGTTGAGAATAGCTAAGTCATTCAGTTAATCATCATACAGTATTGCCTTTACTACATATAATGTTCTCCTGGTTCTGCTTACTTCACTTTGCATTAATTCGTATACGTCTGCCCAGATTTTTATGAAATCTGCATGCTCATCATCTCACAATAGTATCCTATTACAATCATATACCGCAACTTAGTGGGCCATTCCCTAGTTGATACGCATCTCCTCACTTTCTAATTCTTTGCCATTACAAAAAGAGCTGCTATAAACATTTTTTTAAAATACAAATAGCTCTTTCCACCTTCCCCTCTTTTTAAATCTCTTTGGGATACAGATCTACTAGTGGTATTGATGAGTCAAAGGGCACACACAGTTTTCTAGCCCCTTGGGTATCCTTCCAAATTGCTCTTCAGAATGGTTGGATCAGTTCACAACTGAGGAGGGATGTGTCTTACCCAAGGTCGCACAGGTCATTAGTGGAAGAGTCAGGACTAGAACTCATTTAACTTCTTGGGCTTTTGGTTTCCTCATAAATAAAAGCGGAGAGTTGGACTATATAGTTTTAAAATCTTTTTTTAGCTCTAAATCTGTGATGCTATGATCTCACGTTTGTATCTTCTGATTTCTAATCTAGGACTCCAGAGCAGACAGTAACCACAGTGGAGAGACTCCGTTTGCATTCCATATTCCTTTCGCTTTCCTCATTAGTGATGGTACGAGGCAGGGAAGGGGTTATGACTAGCTAATATTCTAGCTTCTTTGGCAGGAAAATGTCTGCTTTCTAATGGAAAAAATACAAGACGGTTGTCAGAGCGCATGGGTTTTGTTTCCAGCTCTGCCATTCGCTTACTACGTGACTGGACAAATATCTGACCTCCCTGGACCTTAGGGGTTTTTTTTTCTGTAAAATGAGAGGGTTCTACTGAGCAGTGTACTCATAAATATTTAACAATGGGCTCTCCAAAAAAGTATTTATAATAGCCTTTTAAGTTTAACCTGTATTATTAACATTTTCTCCATCATTTTATTAAGGCTAGACAATCAACACAGTAATAAACCAAGCCCTGATTTGTAATGCTTGCCAATTTCAAGAGGCATAAATGCTCTCAGTGAAATTTAACAAGTGGCTCTCAGCTAGCCATTTTGAGCTGGCTCT